TGGGCAGCCCCTGGGGAGGGAGGGCACTTTGAATAATATCCATATGGAAGGACCAAGACTCAGCCCTTAGCTTTCCACCTCACTGCAGGTTCTGGAATTGATGCAGCCAAGCTCTGAAACAAGGGCTAGAACTCCAAGGATGGGAGGCTTGGCCTTCCTGCTGGCACTGGGTCCCTGGCTCATGGCCCAGATCCTGCTGTCTGGGTGGAGTTCAGTGTGCTGGGCACCTGCACAGATCCCAAAATTGGTTAGATCAATTTGGAGATGAGCAGGCTTTACACTGGGGGGAGCCACAAGGTCCATCCTTGACCCCCCAGGTGATGGTGTGGATCCACGGTGGTGCGTTGACTATGGGCATGGCTTCCTTGTATGACGGTTCTGCGCTGGCGGCATTTGAGGATGTGGTGATGGTCACCATCCAGTACCGCCTGGGAGTCCTGGGCTTCTTCAGGTGAGACCAGGGCTGGGGTGGGCACTGCGGGAAGAGTGGCACCAGGACAGCCCTCTGACCGCTATCCCTTCCACTTCTCAGCACTGGAGACCAGCACGCCACCGGCAACTGGGGCTACCTGGACCAAGTGGCTGCACTGCGCTGGGTACAGCGGAATATCGCCCACTTTGGAGGCAACCCTGGCCGGGTCACCATTATCGGCGATTCTGCAGGTGGCACGAGTGTGTCATCCCATATGCTGTCACCCATGTCCCAAGGTCTCTTCCACGGAGCCATCATGGAGAGTGGGGTGGCCCTAATGCCCGGCCTCATCACCAGCTCATCTGAGGTGGTCTCCACAGTGAGTGTCCTCACTGCCCAGCCAGCACTGCTGCTCCTGCCTCTCTTAGTCTTGCTGAAGTGGTCACTATGAGGTCATTGGGTACACAGGCACTGCTGCCTATCTGCGAACTGCTGAGGAGGTCTGGGGTCAGAATGTGCCATCTGAGCCCCAGTGGTAACAGAGGTGATTCTTGGCTCTGCCACTCTGCCCGCCTGAGCCCCAGGTTGTCAGCAACCAGCACAGCAGGTGCTGCCCACTGTGGCTGGGCGGTGCCAAGTCATGGGGAAGGAGCAACAATCAGCTTCCACTGCAGCCGAGCACACACCACACCCTGTGTGATTTGGGGTGCAGCTGCCTTCAATGGGGCCGTGGGCAACCCCAGTCTCCAGCATGGCTGTGCCAGCCCCTGTGTGGTCCCATTACAGGTGGTGGCCAACCTGTCTGGCTGTGGCCAGGTGGACTCTGAGACCCTGGTGCGCTGCTTGCGGGCCAAGAGTGAAGAGGAGATGCTGGCCATCACCCAGGTTGGGCCCCGTGCACGTGGGTGAGGGGGTGATGGGCTTGTGTGAACCTCATAGTCCCTGGGGCTGCTACCTCCCATCCATGCCCTCCTGACATCCCAGCCCTGGAAGGGAACAGGAGGCACAGTCCTGTATACCAGGCGGGGGACCCCATGGTGGGAGGGAACAACCTGGGCTCAGCCTGGGCTCAGCCAGGCTTGGGGGATTTACAAGGAGGGCAGCGTAAAATACCTGCAACAAAAACTTTCTCCCTGACCCGTGTGACCCCACAGCCCTTCATGCTCATCCCAGGGGTGGTGGACGGAGTCTTCCTGCCCAGACACCCCGAGGAACTGCTGGCCTCGCCTGACTTTCAACCCGTCCCCAGCATCATTGGTGTCAACAATGATGAGTATGGCTGGGTCATCCCCAAGGTGAGTGCCCATATTGCCCATGTGGTGGGCAGGTTTTTGGGCTTCAAAACTCTAGGCACAGCCATGCCAACATGGGACTCTCACCTCTCCATCAGCTCCTATTTGCCATTGACCCTCAAGAGGAGAGAGACAGACAGGCGATGCGGGAGATTACGCATCAAGTAACAAAACAGCTGGTGAGGCCCCCAGGCTCCTGCCACAACAGAGCGCATCCCAGACACCTGCCCACACAGGGACTCTGGGAACAAAGGTTCTGCCGTGTGTTTGGGTGGGGTCTCCTGGAGCCTGGTTCTTCCCCCAGTTTCTGACTATACAGGACCTCCGTCCCCCAGCCTGAGCCTGCTGCCTCCCTCCCAGGAGCTGCTCCCCTCACTCCTTCCCCTTCCCCTGGGCCAGATGCTGCCTCCCGCTTTGGGGGACCTGTTGATGGACGAGTACATGGGGAGCAATGAGGACCCCAAGACCCTCATGGCCCAGTTCCAGGAGATGATGGCAGACGCCATGTTCGTGGTGCCTGCACTCCGAGTAGCACATTTCCAGCGTGAGTTCATCTGGGACTGAGGCCTCACTCGCTAGGGGCAGCTCAGAGCTGGGTCCTTTCCTGAGGGTGACACCTGCCCTGTGCAGGTCCTGATCCATGTCTTAAGTGGGCCCCAGAGTGCCGGGGACTTGGTGTCACTCCTCTCACTAAACCCCCATGACTGAACCTGGAGATGGATATGTCCTTTATTGAACTAGGAGGCGACATCTGAGTGAGCTCCACTCACTGTTCCCAAACCTCATAGCCACGAAGCACAAGGCGAGATCTAATCCAGGTCATGCCCACTGCACCTGCTCCACCCGGGATTCTGCTATACTGCCAGGACCCAGCCTAGTGTGGCCGTGATGTGTGGTTCCCATGGTCACGCATCTCCCTGTCCATCCCCAGGTTCCCATGCCCCTGTCTACTTCTACGAGTTCCAGCATCAACCCAGCTTCACAAAGGACCTCAGGCCGCCCCACGTGAGGGCCGACCACGGCGATGAGCTGCTCTTTGTGTTCAGATCACATTTCTTTGGCAGCAAAGGTGAATCTTCCTCCATTACCAGGATGGGATGAGGTCCAGGCTCTCTCTGAGGGGCTCTGCACCCCCCATTGGGATGAAAGCAGGAGGCTCAGATGGGATCCAGGTTCCAAAGTCTTATAGCTCAGAGGGCGGAGCCAGGTTTGGGTCTGAGAGCCCCCATGATGCAGCCTCTGCTCCCTCCTCCTGAGCCCTCCCAGGGATAAGTGTCCTGCCTGGGTGCACATGGGTTCAAAGTCAGGTCTGTTTCCTTACAAATGTCCCAGGGACAGAGGGAAGCAACCGTCTTGGTAAAGAAATATGCAGAGTCGATGACTTAGGGGATGAATGGGACATGAAAATGACAAAGGCTGGTCCTAATGGTGAAGGAAAGACAAACAGGTTGCGAGTAGCCGAGGGTCTACTCCACCTGGGCTGGAGCGTGGTGCATGATGGGCTGCAGGACTGGGGTGGCCGAGCTGACCCTGGCCCTCCCCTCTGCAGTGCCCCTCACTGAGGAGGAGGAGCTGCTGAGCAGGAGGGTGATGAAGTACTGGGCCAACTTTGCTCACAACGGGTGAGAAAACCCCCCTTCAAATCCCCAGGGACCTGGGACCCTCTGCCCTCCCTCCTCTGGGGGGACCTCACCAGGATCCAGGGACCTAAGTCATGTGACAGTCCCTCGCCAGCTGCAGGACCCACTGGCACTCACAGGGGCCATGGGACCAGGCACACTCTTCCCATCTCCCAGTGACCTTGGGGTGGGCCATGAGCAGCTCACGTCTGTGTCTTGTCTGCAGGAACCCCAATGGCGAGGGCCTGCCACACTGGCCCATGTTCGACCAGGACGAGCGATACCTGCAGCTGAACGTGCAGCCTGCAGTGGGCCAGGCCCTGAAGGCCCGCAGGCTCCAGTTCTGGACCCACACCCTGCCCCAGAGGGTCCAGGAGCTAAGAGGAGCTGAGCAGCACACAGAGCTGTAGCTGCCTGTGTGGGGGTGGGGGACAGGGGCTCCAGTGCAGGTGGGGCCCCGATGCACTCACACACATCCACAGAGAATGTATTGGGCACTCTAACGTGGCCACTCAATCCTCCCTGCCTCTGTCAACTCAGCTGACCATTGGGGGGAACTCACGGCTTGAGGTTCATTGCCAAGCCTGCCCTGGGTCCCTCGTGTGAGACACATTCCATACACCCTCCTTGGAGCTGTGTTGGGCAACACCAGTGCCCGCCCAGCTTCCTCAACACCCACTGTGCCCTGGGCCCCTCCTGCTTCTTGCCCCTCCACCTTCTCCGCACCCTCCCTCTCCTCTCCTCCCAGCCCCAGGCCCTCCCCACAAGGAAGGAGCTGGGTTGGGCATTGTTGCCCACCCCTGGGTGCCTCAAGCCCTCCCCCTACTCCTCCTCCCAGCATGCCTGTGATCTCACATCTCTTAGAGGCCACAGAGGACCCGGACTCCACGAGTCACCGTGGCTTCGTCCCTGCAGGCTGCCATGAGTGGCGCCCTCAATCCCATCCATGCAGCACAAATAAAGGGTTCTAGTCCTTTCACACTGAGTCACATTCACCTGAGTGAACCTGCCACTTTTTTTTTAGACCCTCAGCTCTCAAGAGACACCTGGTTACCTGCACAGCTGGGATACCATGAATCATTAATGCAGTAACCTAGAGTATAGGGCTGTTGCTTTGCACAGGGGTTCAAGCCTCTAAGCATGTCGCTGGCATCTCATATGAGTGACAGTTGAGGTTCCAACTGCTATACTCCTGATCCAGATCTCTAGTAAGGCACCTGGGAAAGCAGCAGAGGAGGGCCCAAGGGCTTGGGCCCCTGCCACCCACGTGGGGTACACAGATAATGTTTCTCCCTCTGGACTTTGCCCTGGGCTAGCCCTGGCCATGGTGGCTGAGAGAGCCCTGGGCTGAGCAGAGGTCAAGGCCAGTTCTCAGGGAGCACAAAGGCAGCCTTCATGAGCCAGGGTCCACTTCCCCTGGGGGCTCCCGTGCCCAGGCTGCTCCTCCTTCCTGCAGGGAGCCTGATGTTTCCTACACTCAGGCTGACTCCCGGCCCCCCACTGCTGTCACAGGACCACACGTACCCTGCTGGGTGCCCGGTGGGGAAGGTGTGGGCCCTGGGTCTTACATTTTACTCAAGGTTCTTGTCCCCATGGAGATGAGGATTCACAGCAGCAGCAGCCACAGGCAGTGCACAAAAGCAGCTTTGATTTCAAGCACAGAGAGCTTGAGCACACCTGCACGCCTACTGAGGGCCGCCACCCACGGAGAGACCCTCAGCAGGAATGGGCCAGGGTTGCCAGGAGGAAGAGAGGAAGAGGCAGCCCAAGGAGGATTCCCAAGCACAGCCAGGGGCAGAGAGGGCCCTCCCCTTTCTCATCTCAGGGGGCGGTGCCCTAAATGCATAACCCAGTGGGGTGGGATCTCACCTGTGGGAATACTGAAGGGATTGTTATGGCCCCTCCATCCAGAATTTCACTTCCCTGTTTCCATCATGGCTTCTCCTTCCTGGGTCAGCTGACCCACAGGTACATCCTGGGAAAGTGATATAAAAATTGATAGCAGGGGCTGGCAGTGTGGCTCAGTGGGTTAATGCCCTGGACTGTAGTGCTGGCATCCCAAATGGGCACCAGTTTGACACCTGGCTGCTCCATTCTGAACTAGGTCTCAGCTGTAGCCTGGGAAAGCAGTGAGGATGGCCCAGGTCCTTGGGCCCCTGCAGCCGCATGGGAGTCCTGGAGGAAGCTCCTGGCTCCGGGCTTCAGATCGGCACAGCCTGGCCATTGTAGCCATGTGGGGAGTGAACCAGCAGAAAGAAGACCTCTCTCTCTGCTTTTGCCTCTCTCTCTGTGTATCTGTGACTTTCACGTAAAATAAGCAAATATTAAAAAAAAAATCACTCCCTTATCTCTCCTTTACTCTCTGGAACTCTGCCTTTCAAATAAATAAATACATCTTTTTTAAAAATAGATTCTCAGAGAAGGCCTCCAGGGTGTCCAGTCACAGCCCAGTGCTGCTTGCTGTCCATCCCTACACTATCCTGGAGTCAGCCGGCGAGGACAGTAAACTTGGTGACTCCAGGACTGAGGAGAGGGATTGGACACCCAGAGGAGCCAGGAGCCAGGGAGGCAGGAGCCAGGGAGGCAGAGGCCAGGAGAGGAGCCAGAGGAGGCAGCCCCGCCAGGCCCAGTCCTCTCAGTCCTGCTCTCCTGCAAGGCCTACAAGCCCCACCCCACCCCCGCCTGTTCCCTGCCTGTCCTGGGCTGGGCCAGGATCTGCCCCTGGAGCACTCCAGGCAGCCTCTGGGCACAGAGCCCCACCTGCGGACCTGCCTCAGACCATGTGGACACAGCGACAGGCTTAGGGCACCGTGACCTGCAGGCTCCTGCTACTCCTCCTCGTCCTGGTACCCAGTGAGGATCCCGCCGGCAGTAACAGGAACCAGGATCAGTACTGCCCAATCCCGCAATTAGAGCCTGCGGCCGCAGAAAAACAACACCTGGGTAGCTGAAGCCAGTGGAAGTGACAGGGCTGGCACCTGAGGCTGTGGAGGGTCGGGGCTGCCCGAGGATACAAACACAGAGGACTGAGCCCAACATAAGGGCTCTGAGCAGTACAGCTCCTAGTCGGCAGCCCGGGAGGCAGGCAGCAGCGTGGGAGCTGGGGAGGTTCCCTGGGCTCCAGGCTGCTGGAGCAAGTGACTCCGACAGTGAGGAACCGGCCCTGGGACCATTTGTCTCCGGGGCTGCATTCCCTTGGCAGAGCGGCTCCCTGCCCCACAAGGTGGCCCCAGTCGTGGTAACTGGACCTGAAAATTCAAAGCCCCTGGTGCCAATCCAGAAGCCCATCTGTAAGCCAGGGTCTCCTCTGACCCCGTGCGCCTGGCAGAGACATATGCAGGCTAAGGTTCCAGGGCAAACGTGACTCCACCCTAGAACCTGGCATGTGTTTTATCATGAATCAGCCCACGTGGGTATTACCCATGGGGTGTGTGCTTGATCCATTTTCTCCTCATTCTAAAGGCCCAGGTCTCTAACCCCACCCTCTCCCTACCTAATCCCCAGCACAGGCCCCACTCCTCCCCCTCCATGCTCACCCACGGGCTCCCCGCCTGCCCTGCAATGCACAGACTCTCCCGGCGACCAGGACCTTCCAGGCAGATCATCTCCCCACATCACTGTGGTTCCTAATAAAGTAATATCTGGGGCTGGGTCCCCACGCAGAGAGGGAGCAGTTGTTCCCAAGGTCCCTGGGAGTCGCTGTGCGTGTCCGGGGCAGGAAACACGCAGCATCTGCACAGAAGCCGCCCCTGTCCTCCGTGGACTCTGCTGAGCTCAGCTCACTGTCAGCCTCACAGCCGGAACTGCTGCTGCAGGCAGCGCTGTCCTCCATGGTTGGGGCGAACGACAAGCACAAGGTTGGGACCAGCTCAGGACAGAGGCGCTGTTTACTCACCCGCTCCGGGGCCAGGCTCTCCTCTCCCTGACCCAGGGGCCCAGAGCACCCTTGTGGCCGGGCATCGCCTACTGTGACATAGGAGGTTCCTCCTGAGGAGGAGTCAGCTTTCATGGGCTGGGGATGATTGATTTCTGCTGATTTTTTAAAAGATTTATTTGTTTATTTGCAAATCAGAGTTACACAGAGAGAGGAGAAGCAGAGAGACAGAGAGATCGTGCCAGGTCAGGACGTTAACCTGCAGCGCCACATTGCAGGCCCCGATTTCTACTGACAAAGGCATTGAGACAGGAAAAGAGGGAGAGACAGAGTGAGAAAGAGCTCTCCCCTCCACGGTCTCCCTCAGACGCCCGCTCTGTTAGGAGGGGAGCATCCCAGAGGCCTTGCTACTGCTGCTCCAAGTGTCTGCCCAACAGTTGGCACTTCCCTTGGGCTTCTACCGAGGGTGGGACCTGCAGGGCGGTGGAGCTCCAGGTTAAGGGTTGCAGGACTGCCCGTCGGGTTCCCAGAGCAGGTGTCCCGTTTCCCTACCCCAGCGATGCGCAGAGGCCCCCTCCCCACCCCCGCGCCCGCGCTCTGCACCCCTGTGCGGTTGCCGTGTGTTGCTGAGTCTCCCTCACGCTTCAGCTCCCCCTCTGCCTCGCTGTGCTCTTCCTCCTGATTCCTGTGTTGAGAAACCGGTGTACCCCTGGCTCTCTCTGGAGGGGGAGGCACCGTCCCTGTGGTGCCTTCTGACCATTCCTCTGTCCCCTCACCCTGTGTACACAGGAATTGTACCTAGAGGCTCCATCAGGTTCAGCTGTTAGAGGTCGCTGCAGTTTTTTTCTTCTTTTGAGAAGACCAGCATGTGGTGCTGAGTCCTCACCATAGAACATCTCGACCTTTTCATATCTGATTCGTGGCACAACACAGATCCTTGAGGGACAGCATGAGAGCAGCAGTGAACCTGCATCAGGGAGCAAGATCCGGGGTGAAGCAGCCAGGATGGAACTGTGTAGGGGATGCTGGCCATGCAGGCTGTGGGTGCACCCGAGCGCCACTACACCGCCCCCTAGAGGACGCTTCCTTTCTTCCCTTCTTGCTGCCTGGAGCATGAGCCTCCTAGCAGGGGAGCCTGGTCAGTCTGGTGCTCACAGCTCTACCTCCTGGGACCGAGGGCAGTCAGCAGAAAGGACGCTCTCCTCGCCCCCAGGGCTGTCACCTGCGCTGACTCCTAGTGCTCAGGGAGGGTGCTAGGTCCCAGGAGCCTCGGGAGCTGTGGGATGTCCTGGGCTGGGCAGGGACAGCACTGCTGGCTGGGAGATGGGGGAGAGTTTCTCATGCAGGACGTTGGTCAGGTCAGTGTTTGTAGGTCCGAGGCCTTGGCAAGGCTGAGGTGCCGATGCCAAGGAGAGGCCACAGTAGCAGTGTGGGAGGGCAGCTCATGGGGAGCCCCCACCTGACACCTCTCTGCCCACAGGCCAGGACCCTGCCAGCCCCATCCGGAACACACACACGGGGCAGGTGCGCGGGAGCCTGGTCCACGTGGAAGGCACCGATGCGGGCGTCCACACCTTCCTGGGAATTCCCTTTGCCAAACCACTTCTGGGGCCGCTGCGCTTTGCACCTCCTGAACCTGCTGAAGCTTGGAGTGGAGTGAGAGATGGGACCTCCCACCCAGCCATGTAAGCGCTCCCAGGGCACAGGGGAGCTCCGGTCCTGGGGGGAGGTCAGGGGAAAGATCCTTTGAGTCTGGGCCAGGCCCAGCTGTCTGGGACAGAGCTCCCATGACCAGCTTTCCCTGTGGGTGATGGCTCCCTCGTGTGTTATTCAGTGAGTCTGCTTAGGCTTTCTGGATTCAGTGACCATGAAATGCTTTGGGGCCAGAACGTGGCACTCAGAGCACATTAAATCCAGGTACAGAGAGAAAAGCAGAGACGCTCTCCCCGTGTCCAGGAGAGGCCACAGGCTCTCTGTCTGCAGGGGGCGCTGTGTCTGGGTGAGGTTCACCTGGCTCCACATGCTTGTAGGAGGCCCCGACTCCATCAGCAGATCCTGCAGCTCCCTGAGATGGGCACCAGAGGGGGTCGTCATGGTCACTGAGCCAACGACAGGGCAAGGACATTGGCCAGGGACCCGTGTATGCCCTTAGGATTGGACACTGTGGGAACGGGGAGGTTCCTGAGTCTAGAGTGAAGGTGAGGGTCGTCCACTGCCCTTCCTGGGGAAACGCCATCCGTCCATCCAGGCTCGTGTGCGGGAGGCTGGCCTGCTCCGGCGTGGCTGGGTCTGGGCATCCAGCACTGAGTGTCCCCTCAAGAAAGTCACGACTTCCCACAGAGTCCCCTGTCAGTCAAGAGTGGTCCCCAGACTCTCAGACACCTGAGGTTCCCTGATGTTGGACCATCCCAGCTCACCCAGAGTCTAGGACCTGGATCCTGGTGGGAAGTGTCTTAGGGAGGCCCATGAGTAGGAAGGGCTCTAGGAGGAGGCCCGAGGAGGGTCGGGCACACTAGATCCAGGCTCTAGACTAATGGCTGCCTTGGGTGGCTCCAGGTGTCCACAGAACTTTGCTATGATGGGTCAAGATGTTCTGCAGCTGAACCTCACCCTGCCTTCAATCCCCATGTCCGAGGACTGTCTGTACCTCAACATCTACTCGCCTGCACATGCCCGTGAGGGCTCTGACCTGCCTGTGAGTGTGGGGCAGGGTCGGCCGGGGTGGGAGGGCATTGCCTTCTGCTAGAAGATGAGAAAGGAGAAGCTGAGCACGGGCCCTCCTGTGAGCACACCCTGTCCAGAAGCCTCTCACTATGGGAGCCAAGAACTGCTGCTCCCCCACGGTGGGCAGCTGAGCCTTTGGCATGGGATCCCAGGGGTTGAGATGTCAGAGGTCAGACTGATGGTCTTGAATGAACCTGGAACACCTGCAGCACCTCATGCCCAGGAGGCACACTCAGTGACCCCTGGCTACCCTCAGAGGTCACCACAGCTCCCAGCCACTGATGATGTGGGGGCCTGAAGAAGGGAAGGCACTAGGATGAGCATCTGTGTGGATTGATGAGATAGACAGCCATTATTTGTCCATCTCACAGGGGGGGTTGAAATTGACGGACCCAGGCTTTGAACATGGAGTTGGACTCAAAGGATGGAGGCCTGGCCTTCCTGCTGGCATTGGGTCCCTGGTTCATGGCCCAGATCCTGCAGTCTGGCCAGAGTTCAGTGCGCTGGGCACCTGCACAGACCCAAGACTGGTTAGACTAGGGTGAGGATGAGCAGGATAGTTTGGAGGGAGCCACGTGGTATGCCCTTGATTTCCCCAGGTGATGGTGTAGATCCACAGTGGTGGGCGGACCATGGGCATGGCTTCCATGTATGACGGTTCTGCACTGGCAGCATTTGAGGACGTGGTGGTGGTCACCATCCAGTACCACCTGGGAGTCCTGGGCTTCTTCAGGTGAGACCGGGGCTGGGGTGCGCACTGCGGATGAGTGGCACCAGAACAGCCCTGTGACCCCTGTCCCTGCCACTTCTCAGCACTGGAGACCAGCACGCCGCCGGCAACTGGGGCTACCTGGACCAAGTGGCCGCACTGTGCTGGGTCCAGCAGAATATCGCCCACTTTGGAGGCAACCCTGGCCGGGTCACCATTTTCGGCGAGTCTGCAGGTGGCATGAGTGTGTCATCCCATGTGGTGTCGCCCATGTACCAAGGTCTCTTCCACGGAGCCATCATGGAGAGTGGGGTGGCCCTGCTGCCCAGCCTCATCTCCAGCTCGTCTGAGGTGGTCTCCACTGTGAATGTCCTCACTGCCCAGGCCTGCTACTCCTGCCTATACTTCGTCTCTGATCAAGGGGCACAAGGAGGGAGGACCATCGGGTTCTCAGGCCCTGCTGCCTACCATTGCATTACTGAGACGCTCTAGGGTTAGAAGCCACACACCTGTGTCCCAGCAGAGGCAGAGGTGGTTCTCAGCTCCACCAGCTGTCTGCCCTGAGCCCCAGGTTTTCAGCAACCAGCTCAGCAGGTGCTGCCCACTGCGGCTGGGCGGTGCCAAGTCATGGGGAAGGAGCAACAATCAGCTTCCAACTGCAGCCGTGCACACACCACACCCTGTGTGATTTGGGGTGCAGCTGCCTCCAGTGGGGCCGTGGGCAACCCCTGGTCTCCAGCATGGCTGTTCCAGCCCCTGTGTGGTCCCACTACAGGTGGTGGCCAACCTGTCTGGCTGTGGCCAGGTGGACTCTGAGACCCTGGTGCGCTGCTTGCGGGCCAAGAGTGAAGACGAGATGCTGGCCATCACCTAGGTTGGGCCCCGTGCACGTGGGTGAGGGGGTGATGGGCTTGTGTGCACCTCATAGTCCCTGGGGCTGCTACCTCCCATCCATGCCTCCTGACATCCCAGCCCTGGAAGGAACAGGGGACCCAGTCCTGGATGCCAGGCTGGAGACCCCATGGTGGGAGTGAGCACCATGGGCTGATCGAGGCATGGGGGATGGACACAGAGGTCAATGAGACTATATGGGACACAAGCTTTCTCCATGACCCTGCATGACCCCTAGATCTTCAAGGTCATCCAAGGCGTGGTGGATGGAGTCTTCCTGTCCAGATGCCCTGAGGAGCTACTGGCCTCGGGTGACTTTCAACCCGTCCCCAGCATCATTGGTGTCAACAATGATGAGTATGGCTGGGTCCTCCCCAAGGTGAGCCCCACCCACCCCGCGCTCCTGAGTTCCCCCATAGCCCAAGAGGTAGGCAGGTTTCCGGGTTTCAAAGCTCCAGATCCAGCCATGCCACTCTTTGGAATCTTCACTCTCCACTCAGCTCCTGTTCACCATGGACCCTCAAGAGGAGAGAGACAGAGGGGCCGTGAAGGAACTCAAGCAACAAAACAGCCCCAACAGAGCCCATATTAGACACCTGCCGCACAGGGACGCCAGGAACCAAGGCTCTGCCGTGTGTTTGGGGAGGGCTCTCCCGGAGCCTGGTTCTTCCCCCAGTTTCTGACTATACAGGACTCCGTCCCCCAGCCTGAGGCTGCTGCCTCCCTCCCAGGAGCTGCTCCCCTCACTCCTTCCCCTTCCCCTGGGCCAGATGCTGCCTCCCGCTTTGGGGGACCTGTTGATGGACGAGTACATGGGGAGCAATGAGGACCCCAAGACCCTCACGGCCCAGTTCCAGGAGATGATGGCAGACGCCATGTTCGTGATGCCTGCACTCCGAGTAGCACATTTCCAGCGTGAGTTCATCTGGGACTGAGGCCTCAGGGCTGGGTCCTTTCCTGAGGGTGATGCCTGTCCTGTCCAGGTCCCAGTCCATGTCTTAATGGGGTCCTGGTATGCCAGGAACTTGGTGTTGCTCCTCCCAGTAACCCTCCATGACAGTTCCGGAGATGGACATCTCCACTGTGGAACAGAAGAAAAGACTGGGCTGAGTGAGCTCCACTGATTGTTTCAAGATCTCACAGCCACAAACCTCAAGGCTGGATCTAACCCAGGGCTTGCCCACTGCACCTGTTCCCCCTGCTACCTCTCCCCAACTGTCCAGGACCCAGCCTGGTGCAGCAATTACATTTCGTCACCATGGTTATTGTAGGAGAACACCGGGAAGGGGCCACCCATCTCCCTGTCTGTCCCCAGGTACCCACGCCCCTGTCTACTTCTACGAGTTCCAGCATCGGCCCAGCTTCACAAAGGACCTCAGGCCGCCCCACGTGAGGGCCGACCACAGCAATGAGGTTGTCTTTGTCTTCAGATCATTTCTCTTTGGCAGCAAAGGTGAATCTTCCTCCATTACCAGGATGGGATGAGGTCCAGGCCCTGCGCCCTACCTAAGGATGAAAGGACGAGGCTCAGTGGGATCCAGGGTGCATTCAGGGAGCAGAGCTGGGAATGGAATCTGAACCCCTCAAGGCACAGCCTGTACCCCCTCCTCCTCTGTCTGCCTAGGAATGAGTGTCCCTCTTGGGTGCACAGGGGTTCAAAGTCATCTCTGTTTCATATATGATGTCCCAGTGTCAGAGAGGAGAAACCGTCCTGGAAAGGAAGAAGCCAGTGTCCAGGACTTAGGGGCTGACTGGGGACGTGGGGCTTGACAAGGCTGGGAACAGCTGGTGAGGGGCGACGGCAAGGTTGAGGGTATCCTGGGGTCAAGCTCCACCTGGGCTGGGAGCGAGGTGCATGATGGGGCAGCAGGACTGGGGTGGCCCGAGCTGATCCTGCCCCTCCCCTCTGTAGTGCCCCTCACTGAGGAGGAGGAGCTGCTGAGCAGGAGGGTGATGAAGTACTGGGCCAACTTTGCTCGCAACGGGTGAGACGACCCCCCCCCAAATCCCCAGGGACCTGGGAACTTCTGCCCTCCCTCCTGTGGGGGGACCTCCCCAGCATCCAGGGTCCTAAGTCACGTGACAGCTCCCTCCCCAGCTGCAGGACCCACTGGCACTCACAGGGACCCTGGGACCAGGCACACTCTTCCCATCTCCCAGTGACCTGGGGTGGACCATGAGCTGCTCACCCAGAGGATCCCTGTTGGGGAGGGACAGGCCAGGTTAGGATGCTGGGTCCCCATGTGGAGCTGACCCTAAGGGGAGTTCGTTCAACTGCTGCTTCTGGAAACCCATTCCCCACTCCTCCTGCCTGCAAGGTGGCCTGGCCAGAACCCAGATCGGTGGGTTATCAGGGTCTGGGCAGGATGTGAAGTGCAGGATGCTGGGCTTCTGGGGCTCCACAGCAGGTGCTGGGGTACAGGCCCTTCTCACACACACTCAGAGGCTGTTTCTGACCTCCACCTGACAAAAGCAGCAGCAGCCACAGGCAGTGCACAAAAGCAGCTTTGATTTCAAGGAGAGAGAGCGTGACCACACCTGCACGCCTACTGAGGGCCGCCACCCACGGAGAGACCCTCAGCAGGAATGGGCCAGGTTGCCAGAGAGAGAGGAAGAGCAGCCCAAGAGATTCCAGCACAGCCAGGGGCAGAGAGGGCCCTCCCCTTTCTCATCCCAGGGGTGGTGCCCGAAATGCATAACCCAGGGGGGTGGGATCTCACCTGTGGGAATACTGAAGGGATGGTTATGGCCCCTCCATCCAGAATTTCACTTCTGAAGTAGCACCTTGACAGTAGGGACTCCATTTTGAAGCACTTGAGACTGCATTTTGGGAAAGTAACCCCCACCGTGAGACTCTGGTCTGAAACTATGATCTCAAATAGTCGGACAATAGCAGCGCACTACATCACCCTTGGCAGAGCACAAAAACCCCCTAGCATGCTTGCTCAAGCTTGAAAGTAGAAAGGTTGCACCTGGGTTAATGATAAAGATGTGATTTGTCTATGTCTTACACATAATTTGAATTAATGTCAAGATCATAAATGATAATTGTACGATTGTAACTGGTATTGTCAAGATTATGATGGATATTAATTTCACCTAGGTCTTAGGTTATGTTGACCCTAGTAACTATGTACTCTCTTTGGATTTTTTCTTTTTTGTACCCTCTTTTGATCTTAGCAACTGTGTATAGTAACCATGCATTCCCCCCCTTCCCAGTTTTGCGGTTTTTGCCTTTATAAACCCTAACCTTTGGTTATTCGGGGCTGCTCTGTTCATGTATGATCAGACAGCCCCAGCATGCTGGATAATCAATAAAGCTTTAACCCTTTGCTGGTTGCATGAGAGAAAAGTCTTTTGGAGTCGTTCCTCGGGCGGTGGGCTTTTTCAGACTCTAACACTTCCATGTTTCCATCATGGCTTCTCCTCCTGGTCCCAGCTGAGCAC